AGGGCCACAGAATTGTTACTCGCACAGAGACACAGAATTGTTACTCAGGGACACAGAATTGTTACTGAGGGCCACAGAACTGTTACTTAGGGCCACAGAATTGTTACTCGCACAGACACAGAATTGTTACTCAGGGACACAGAATTGTTACTGAGGGCCACAGAACTGTTACTTAGGGCCACAGAATTGTTACTCGCACAGACACAGAATTGTTACTCAGGGACACAGAATTGTTACTGACTGAGGGCCACAGAACTGTTACTTAGGGCCACAGAATTGTTACTCGCACAGACACAGAATTGTTACTCAGGGACACAGAATTGTTACTGAGGGCCACAGAACTGTTACTTAGGGCCACAGAATTGTTACTCGCACAGACACAGAATTGTTACACAGGGACACAGAATTGTTACTGAGGGCCACAGAAACGTTACTTAGGGCCACAGAATTGTTACTCAGGGACACAGAATTGTTACTGAGGGCCACAGAACTGTTACTTAGGGCCACAGAATTGTTACTCGCACAGACACAGAATTGTTACTCAGGGACACAGAATTGTTACTGAGGGCCACAGAACTGTTACTTAGGGCCACAGAATTGTTACTCGCACAGACACAGAATTGTTACTCAGGGACACAGAATTTTTACTGAGGGCCACAGAACTGTTACTTAGGGCCATAGAATTGTTACTCGCACAGACACACAGAATTGTTACTCAGGGACACACAGAATTGTTACTCAGAGGGCCACAGAACTGTTACTTAGGGCCACAGAATTGTTTACTCGGACAGACACAGAATTGTTACTCAGGGACACAGAATTGTTACTGAGGGCCACAGAACTGTTACTTAGGGCCACAGAGAATTGTTACTCGCACAGACACAGAATTGTTACACAGGGACACAGAATTGTTACTGAGGGCCACAGAACCGTTACTTAGGGCCACATAAACGTTAATCAGGGACACAGAATTGTTACTGAGGGCCACAGAACCGTTACTTAGGGCCACAGAATTGTTACTCAGGGACACAGAATTGTTACTCAGGGACACATAATCGTTGAATTAAAGAGTATGTCAGACAACATGCAGAGGAGTGGCAGAGGAGGCAATGTTTTAGGAGCGAGCAGACGTGGCAGCAGAGGAAGGGGTCGAGGCAGCACTATTCGCAGCCAGAGGCCAGTGCTCCCGGTGTCATCCAGCGGTCGTGTCTCCACCGACAACCCTGCCGTCATCGATTGGTTGGCTCGGTCGTCTTCCTCTTCCCAGGTCACCTCTGACACCTACAGCCAACGGTCGGGTGGGTACGTCAGACACAACCGTTAGTTGGCATGGCCCGGGAGCAAGCCCACTGAAATCACATGTCCTCTACCTGCCCTGTCCTTTGCTGTTCCCTCACCAAGCGAAGTATCGCATGCTGTGGGCTCAGCCCCACTGTACAGTGAGGAAGAGCTAACAGAGGGCGGTCAGGAAACGGGGGGAGACATCCGCCTTTTCAGCAGCCAGGCGAAGAAGTACTGGCGAGGAGAGTGGCTCGGTAGCCGGTCTAGAGACAGGTCTGTCTCCTGACCCAGACGCAGCCGAGGGGGCTAGTAGTGAGGCGGAGACCCTACTTGATGATGAGGAGGTTGATCGCACTTGGCTGCCTCGTCGTCATCAGGCAATTTCTTCCGCATCATCAGGAGAAGAGGGTGCCAGCTTGGCAGCGAGCGAAACAGTCGGTGGGTTGCCCAGGAGGCAGCAGGGTCGCATCAGTGTCAGTGGAGCCAAACGTCCACGGAGTAGAGCACCAGCTCCACTGCAGCCTACCACCACGGCCAGTAGTGGTGCCGGTGCGCACGGAGGAAGTAGCAGTCAGCCAGTGAGGAGTAGCGGGGGCAAAGTTTCCTACTCGGTGGTGTGGCAATTTTTCGTCAAGCCGCCCGAGGAAGTAAACGTAGCCGTATGTCGACTATGTGGCCAGAAAGTCAAGCGTGGCCAGGGGGCCCATGTTGGGGGACTACAGCGTTTGCGTCAGCATATGCAGCGTCACCATTCGGTGGCCTGGGAAAACCGTGATAAAGATACGGCGGTTCTGCCTGCCCCAGCCCCCGCTCCATCACCCGCTCCGTTACTTGCTCCGTCACCCGACGTCGTCAATCGCCCTCTATCAGCCAGTCAAGGCTCCAACACCTCTGCTGAGGGGAGTTGTCGCTCGTTGGCATCTTCCGCTCGTTCAGATGCTCCTTCTCCTGCTACTCCTCTTCTCGGATTCCGTCAACAGTCTTTCTTGGAATCCGTTTCCAAGAGACAACAGTTTGCGAGCACGCACCCGACCGACGGTGCAAAAGCTGAACGTCCTCCTGTCCCAAGTTGCTGGTGCTGCAGTCCCTCCCTTTCCAACTGGTGGACTCAGCACCTTTCCGAGAAATGATGGCTTGTGCCGCCGCCGCCGCGGTGGAGAGTGCCAAGCCGTCATTTCTTCGCCATAAAGGCAGTGCCAGCCCTGCATTCACATGTAGAAGAGATGGTGGGCCAGTCTTTGAGCATGTCGGTCTCTGCCAAAGTGCACGGCAGCGCCGACGTGTGGAGCTGTAACTACGGTCAGGGACAGTACATGTCATTTACGGCCCACTGGGTGAACGTGGTGCCGGCACAGCCGCACCAGCAACTTGGACAGGTCACGACGCTTTTGCCTCCACGTTTGCACGTCCTTGGTCCAGCAAACATGTCCGCCTCTACCACCTCTTTTTTTCCGCCGTGTCCTCAGCCGCCACCCCCCCCCGTGCCAAGTCCCATTACCCGACCGGCATATCACATGTGCAGGGCGCAACGGTGTCACGCTGTGCTGCACCTGGTATGCCTTGGCGAACGTAGTCACACAGGGGAGGAACTTCTGAGTGTAATGAACAGAGAAATCGACAGATGGCTGTCTCCGCGCAAACTGAAAATCGGAACCATGTTGACCGACAACGGAAAGAACATGGTGTCTGCTCTGCGTCAAGGAAGGTTGTGCCATGCGCCATGCATGGCTCACGTGTTCAATCTGGTTGTCAAGCGGTTCCTAAAATCCACCATCCCACTGCAAGACATCCTTAAAATGTCACGTAAACTGTGCATGCATTTCAGCCATTCCTACACCGCAAAGAACACCCTCATTGAGCTGCAGCGGCAGAACGGAATTCCACAGCATCGCCTGATCTGCGACGTTGCAACAAGGTGGAATTCAACCCTACACATGTTAGACCGCCTTTACGAGCAGCGAAAGGCCATCACCGATTTCCTGATGTTACAAGCGGATAAAGGTACTCCCCCCCTGTGTAACTTCGATGTCAGCCATTGGCAGCTCATGCGTGACACCTGCCGCTTGCTCAGGCCCTTTGAGGAGGCCACGCTATTCGTGAGTCGGCAGGACTATGGGATGAACGACGTCATTCCTCTGTTGCACGTCCTGGAACAAATGCTGTTAACAATGGCTGGTCAGGGTGCGGTAGACGTGGCGCACAGATCTCAACGCCACATGACCCCTGTGGGGCAGGACAGGAAGAAGAGGAGGAGGTAGAGGAGGACATTTGTGCTCAGGAATTATTGAGTGAAATGGGTGGTTTTTCCACTCAGCGGACAGGAGTGGAGGAGCAGGAGCATCTGGTAGAGGAGGAGGAGGAGGAGACAGAGGACCCAGACGCACCGTGGCAGTATGCTGTGGAGATGGAGGCAGGGAGTCCCTCGCATTCCTTGGCACAAATGGCCCATAGCATGCTCGGTTGCTTGCGTAGCGACAGCCGAATAATAATAACCATCAGACAGAGGGATGACTTTTGGCTGTCCACCTTGTTGGACCCTCGCTATCGTTCCAAAATGGTGGCCTTTTTCACACACCTGCTGAGAGGGAGGCCAAAATTACGTACTATAAAAACCACCTATGTAGTCAGTTGGTCTCTGCCTTTGTGCGCCAACGTCCATCCTCAGACACTGTGGGCCCTGTGCGCTCGCGTTCCGCTGCCATGGCAGCAGGGGAGGGGTGGGGTGGTAGGAGCAGTGGCAGCTCCACCAGCAGCGGCTGCCTCAGTCTGCAGTCGATGATGAGTAGCTTTCTTCACCAGCGCAGTGAGGAAACTACTAACCAGCCGCAGCAGCAGCAGCAGCAGCATCAGGTGGACCTGGAGCAGGAGCTCAAACAACAGGCTTGGGCCTACTTGGACAGCACCCTGCCAACCGAGGTAGACAATCCCCTTGACTACTGGGCAACGAAACTTGACCTTTGGCCCCAACTAGCTGAATTTGCCCTTGAAAGGCTGTCATGCCCGGCCAGTAGCGTGTGGCATCGGAGCGCGTGTTTAGTGCGGCAGGAGGTATTGTAACTCCGCGGAGGACACGACTGTCCACCCCCAAGTGTGTGGAGAGACTCACGTTTGTGAAAATGAATCAGGCGTGGATTAGTCTGGATTTCAAACCACCAGTTCCTGACACAACTGACTAAATCCGCCATGAATCATGCCCCTGCCATGTGCCACTTTCAGGTCTCCTCACACACTGCTGGTGTGTTCCATTTTTTTCATAGTCATAGGGTGCTGGCAGATTACGGGCCTCCCATTGCTGCTGTCTCCATCGCCACACTCTGCCATGTGCCACATTCAGGTCTCTTCACACTGCTGCTGGCAGATTACGGGCCTCCCATAGCTGCTGCCAGGCCCCTAATCTGCCATGGGCCCCTATATACCGCCTCCTCATGCTGCTGCCAAGTCCAGAGTCTCTCATGGGTCCCTGTACGGCCTCCCATTGCTGCTGTCTCCATCGCCACACTCTGCCATGTGCCACTTCAGGTCTCTTCACACTGCTGGTGTGTTGAATTTTTTGACATAGGGTGCTGGCAGATTACGGGCCTCCCATAGCTGCTGCCAGGCCCCTAATCTGCCATGGGCCCCTATATACCGCCTCCTCATGCTGCTGCCAAGTCCAGAGTCTCTCATGGGTCCCTGTACGGCCTCCCATTGCTGCTGTCTCCATCGCCACACACTCTGCCATGTGCCACTTTCAGGTCTCTTCACACACTGCTGGTGTGTTGAATTTTTTGACATAGGGTGCTGGCAGATTACGGGCCTCCCATAGCTGCTGCCAGGCCCCTAATCTGCCATGGGCCCCTATATACCGCCTCCTCATGCTGCTGCCAAGTCCAGAGTCTCTCATGGGTCCCTGTACGGCCTCCCATTGCTGCTGTCTCCATCGCCACACTCTGCCATGTGCCACTTTCAGGTCTCCTCACACACTGCTGCTGGTGTTGTTTTGAATTTTTTGACATAGGGTGCTGGCAGATTACGGGCCTCCCATAGCTGCTGCCAGGCCCCTAATCTGCCATGGGCCCCTATATACCGCCTCCTCATGCTGCTGCCAAGTCCAGAGTCTCTCATGGGTCCCTGTACGGCCTCCCATTGCTGCTGTCTCCATCGCCACACTCTGCCATGTGCCACTTTCAGGTCTCCTCACACTGCTGTGTGTGTTGAATTTTTTGACATAGGGTGCTGGCAGATTACGGGCCTCCCATAGCTGCTGCCAGGCCCCTAATCTGCCATGGGCCCCTATATACCGCCTCCTCATGCTGCTGCCAAGTCCAGAGTCTCTCATGGGTCCCTGTACGGGCCTCCCATTGCTGCTGTCTCCATCGCCACACTCTGCTGCCATGTGCCACAGGGCAGGTCTCTTCACACACTGCTGGTGTGTTGAATTTTTTGACATAGGGTGCTGGCAGATTACGGGCCTCCCATAGCTGCTGCCAGGCCCCTAATCTGCCATGGGCCCCTATATACCGCCTCCTCATGCTGCTGCCAAGTCCAGAGTCTCTCATGGGTCCCTGTACGGCCTCCCATTGCTGCTGTCTCCATCGCCACACTCTGCCATGTGCCACTTTCAGGTCTCCTCACACACTGCTGTTGTGTTGAATTTTTTTGACATAGGGTGCTGGCAGATTACGGGCCTCCCATAGCTGCTGCCAGGCCCCTAATCTGCCATGGGCCCCTATATACCGCCTCCTCATGCTGCTGCCAAGGTCCAGAGTCTCTCATGGGTCCCTGTACGGCCTCCCATTGCTGCTGTTTCCATCGCCACACTCTGCCATGTGCCACTTTTTCAGGTCTCTTCACACTGCTGCCCCGTGTGTTGAATTTTTTGACATAGGGTGCTGGCAGATTACGGGCCTCCCATAGCTGCTGCCAGGCCCCAAATCGGCCATGGGCCCCCGTACCGCCTGGTCACGCTGCTGCTGGTCCCACAGTGTGACCTGGGTCCCTGTACGGCCTCCCATTGCTTGTCCACTCTCTGCCATGTGCCACTTTTCAGGTCTCCTCACACTCTGCAGGTTTTTCAATTTTTTGACATAGGTTGCTGGCAGATTACAGGCCCTCCCATAGGTGCCGCCAGGCCCCAAATCGCCATGGGCCCCCGTACCGCCTGGTCACGCTGCTGCTGAGACCCACAGTGTGACCTGGGGTCCCTGTACGGCCTCCCATTGCTTCCACTCTGCCATGTGCCACTTTGAGGTCTCCTCACACTCCTGTGCTTTTCCATTTTTGACATAGGTTGCTGGCAGATTACAGGCCTACCATAGGTGCCGCCAGGCCCCAAAATCGGCCATGGGCCCCCGTACCGCCCCGCTGGTCACGCTGCTGCTGCTGGTCCCACAGTGTGACCTGGGTCCCTGTACGGCCTCCCATTGCTTCCACTCTGCCATGTGTCACTTTGAGGTCTCCTCACACTCCTGTGCTTTTCCATTTTGACATAGGTTGCTGGCAGATTACAGGCCTCCCATAGGTGCCGCCAGGCCCCAAATCGGCCATGGGCCCCCGTACCGCCTGGTCACGCTGCTGCTGCTGGGCCACAGTGTGACCTGGGTCCCTGTACGGCCTCCCATTGCTTCCACTCTGCCATGTGCCACTTTGAGGTCTCCTCACACTCCTGTGGTTTTCCATTTTGACATAGGTTGCTGGCAGATTACAGGCCTACCATAGGTGCCGCCAGGCCCCAAATCGGCCATGGGCCCCCGTACCGCCTGGTCACGCTGCTGCTGGGCCCACAGTGTGACCTGGGTCCCTGTACGGCCTCCCATTGCTTCCACTCTGCCATGTGTCACTTTGAGGTCTCCTCACACTCCTGTGCTTTTCCATTTTGACATAGGTTGCTGGCAGATTACAGGCCTCCCATAGGTGCCGCCAGGCCCCAAATCGGCCATGGGCCCCCGTACCGCCTGGTCACGCTGCTGCTGAGCCCACACAGTGTGACCTGGGTCCCTGTACGGCCTCCCATTGCTTCCACTCTGCCATGTGCCACTTTGAGGTCTCCTCACACTCCTGTGCTTTTCCATTTTGACATAGGTTGCTGGCAGATTACAGGCCTACCATAGGTGCCGCCAGGCCCCACAAATCGGCCATGGGCCCCCGTACCGCCTGGTCACGCTGCTGCTGGGCCCCACAGTGTGACCTGGGTCCCTGTACGGCCTCCCATTGCTTCCACTCTGCCATGTGTCACTTTGAGGTCTCCTCACACTCCTGTGGTTTTCCATTTTGACATAGGTTGCTGGCAGATTACAGGCCTACCATAGGTGCCGCCAGGCCCCAAATCGGCCATGGGCCCCCCGTACCGCCTGGTCACGCTGCTGCTGCTGGTCCCACAGTGTGACCTGGGTCCCTGTACGGCCTCCCATTGCTTCCACTCTGCCATGTGCCACTTTGAGGTCTCCTCACACTCCTGTGGTTTTCCATTTTGACATAGGTTGCTGGCAGATTACAGGCCTCCCATAGGTGCCGCCAGGCCCCAAATCGGCCATGGCCCCCGTACCGCCTGGTCACGCTGCTGTGCTGGTCCCACAGTGTGACCTGGGTCCCTGTACGGCCTCCCATTGCTGCTTCCACTCTGCCATGTGTCACTTTCAGGTCTCCTTACACACTGCTGTTGTGTTGAATTTTTTGACATAGGGTGCTGGCAGATTACGGGCCTCCCATAGGTGCTGCCAGGCCCCATAATCTGCCATGGGCCCCCGTACCGCCTCCTCATGCTGCTGTGCCAACCAAGTCCAGAGTCCTCTCATTTGGGTCCACTCTGTACAGCCCATTGCTGCTGCCCAGAGGCAGCAGGGTCGCAGCAGTGTCAGTGGAGGGCAAACGGCCACGGAGTAGAGCACCAGCTTTCCACTGCAGCCTACCACCACGCGCAACTGGTCACGCTGCCAGCTAGTGGTGCCGGTGTGCACCTGGAGGAAGTAGCAGATTCAGCCAGTGAGGAGTAGCGGGGGCAAAGTTTCTCGCTACTCGGCCAAATGTGGCAATTTTTCGTCATAGCCGCCCGCAGAGGAAGTAAACGTAGCCGTATGTCGACTATGTGGCCAGAAAGTCAAGCGTGCCAGGGGGCCCCAACCATGTTGGGACTACAGCGTTGCGTCAGCATATGCAGCGCTGGCCGCCATTCGTGTGCCTGGGAAAACCGTTGCTAACTCTGCCATGGCGCCACTTTCTGGTCTGCCCCACCCAGGGCTTTTCCATTTTGTCATAGGTGCTGGCAGATTACGGCCTCCCATAGGTGCCGCCAGGCCCCAAATCGGCCATGGGCCCCCGTACCGCCTGGTCACACACTGCTGCTGAGGGCCCACAGTGTGACCTGGGTCCCTGTACGGCCTCCCATTGCTTCCACTCTGCCATGTGCCACTTTGAGGTCTCCTCACACTCCTGTGCTTTTCCATTTTGACATAGGTTGCTGGCAGATTACAGGCCTTCCATAGGTGCCGCCAGGCCCCAAATCGGCCATGGGCCCCCCGACCGCCTGGTCACGCTGCTGCTGGTCCCACAGTGTGACCTGGGTTCCTGTACGGCCTCCCATTGCTTCCACTCTGCCATGTGCCACTTTGAGGTCTCCTCACACTCCTGCGGTTTTCCATTTTGACATAGGTTGCTGGCAGATTACAGGCCTTCCATAGGTGCCGCCAGGCCCCAAATCGGCCATGGGCCCCCGTACCGCCTGGTCACGCTGCTGCTGGTCCCACAGTGTGACCTGGGTCCCCGTACGGCCTCCCATTGCTTCCACTCTGCCATGTGCCACTTTGAGGTCTCCTCACACTCCTGCGGTTTTCCATTTTGACATAGGTTGCTGGCAGATTACAGGCCTCCCATAGGTGCCGCTAGGCCCCAAATCGGCCATGGGCCCCCGTACCGCCTGGTCACGCTGCTGCTGAGCCCACAGTGTGACCTGGGTCCCTGTACGGCCTCCCATTGCTTCCACTCTGCCATGTGCCACTTTGAGGTCTCCTCACACTCCTGCGGTTTTCCATTTTGACATAGGTTGCTGGCAGATTACAGGCCTCCCATAGGTGCTGCCAGGCCCCAAATCGGCCATGGGCCCCCGTACCGCCTGGTCACGCTGCTGCTGAGCCCACAGTGTGACCTGGGTCCCTGTACCGCCTCCCATTGCTCACACTCTGCCATGTGCCACTTTCAGGTCTCCTCACACTCCTGCTGGTTTCCATTTTGTCATAGGTTGCTGTATGGCCTCCCATTGCTGCTGCCTCCACCGCCACACTGTGGCTCCAAACACTGGTTTTGGCCCCGTGACTGGCCAAATGAGTGAAATGTGCGGTGATTCTAAGATCGACGGCACTCATCTGCATGTCATACTGACTGACAGTATTATTTCTCTTCCCCAGCAGACTCCAAGGGCATTTAAATTAAAGGTACAGTGTTCTGCACTAATATTAAGTCTCTCTGAAGCCTAGAAACACCCTTTTTTAAGTTAAATTCACAGCGAATATATTCGACTCGAATCGAATATTGTCCACGAATTCGCCGAATCAGTCGAATTGAATTTTTCAATTCTTCGCTCATCTCTAATTACTTTACATTTTTAAACTTTTAACCTCATTTGACATGTAGTTACCCACTCCTTTATTTTATTGAGGTCTTCTTGTAAAGTTTTGCTCTGAGGTTTTTGCCCTGCTTAGCTTTGCATCATCAGCAAACACTGAGATTGAACTGTTTATACCAACCTCTATACAATTTATGCATAAATTAATCAGAATTTGTCCCAGGATACCCCACTTAGTACTCCAGACCAGTCTGAGTACATCCTATTTATCACCACCCTTTGGACTCACCTCTGTTACCAATGTTCTATCCATGTACAAATCCTATGGTCCATGCCTACAGACCTCAGTTTGCAAATTAGGCGTTTATGGGGGGGGGGCTGTATATCGGATGCTTTTACAAAATTCAGGTACGCCACATCCACAGGCCTTCCCTTATCAAGATGGAAGCTCACATTCTCATAGAATGTTAACAGATTATTGATTACTACTAATGATACTGTTTTCATCAGCAAAATCTTGGATATAGTCCCTTGATATCCCCTCCAATAGTTTACATACTATCAATGTTAGACTGACTGGCCTTTAGTTTCCAGGAATATATCTCTGCCCTTTTTTAAATATTGGTACCACATTGGCCCTTTGCCAATCAGCTGGTACCTGTCAGGAAGGCAGCTAATGCAGCTAATGCTGATTCTTCTACAATTAAAGTGGTTTTAAAGGCTGAAGGTTTTTACCTTCATGCATAGCATAATAACCTTCTGTGTGCAGCAGTGCCCCCAGCCCCCTCAATACTTACCTGAGGTTTATCAAGATCCAGTAGTGAATGGATACACGGAGCAGCGGGTGCCACCATAGCAAGCTGCTTGATGTGGAGGCACCCAACAGAAAGGAGAAGCCAGGAGAGCCTGTAAGGGACCCGAGATGAGAAGGATCCAGGCTGCTTTGGGCAAAACCAGTACACAGAGCAGGTACATATAGACATGTTTGTTATTTAAAAAAAAAAAAAAACCCTTTAGAATCACTTTAATGCTACTTCTTCTGTAGCTCATGCCAATTCTTCTTCAGCTAATGCTAATTCTCGTGCAGCTACTGCTCATTCCTATGCAGCTAATGCTCGTGCACGTGTACCAGCATACAGAAGAGACCAGGCTAATATCCAACATGCTCTGCCACAAAGGCACATTTCTATTCGCCAGCACACACGTCCTCCTGCATTGGCCCCAAGCTGCCTATTTAAAGGAGACTCTGCTGTGTACTAATCACTGGATCAGGGGCGGACTGACCATTGGGGAACTCAGGCACTGCCCGAGGGGCCGGGGTCAATAGGGGGCCCCATGAGATGTCCCTGGTATCTTTCATAGGCTTTTTTGGGTGTGATGTGAGTGTGGGCGAGGACACAGGGGCCCCATGATCCCCTATTGCCCGGGGGCCCCATGAGTTGTCAGTCCGCCCCTGCACTGGATGTTCTTCAGCTTCCTGTGATCCATGTTCCTGTTTGTACTGACTGATCTTCTGTTGCTGACCCGGCTTGTTCCTGACCTTGCTCTATGGATTCTGACCTCGGCTTGCCTTAGACTGCTCTCTGCCTGATCTCCTGGTGCTGACCTCGGCTTCCTTCTTACCATTCTTTGCCTGATCTCGTAGTGCTGACCTCGGTTTGCTACTGGACCTCTCTCTACTTGCTAACCTTGTACTCAACCCAGTCTGCCTCCTGACCATGCTGCTGTATCACTGTGTATGACTCTGGCTCACCTTGACTACGTCCCTGACCGTGGCAGTCACCTGCTATCAAGCTATCGGCACCCGTGCTTCTTTGAGCCTTGTACCTCTGTCACCACATTCAGCGCTGCTCGGACCAGAGCTGCTAGTGAAGCCCTCTCGTCAACTCGGCCTCCAACCAAGGTATGTGACAGTACCATTCCTGTCAGTATGCTGTCCATAAAAATTAGGAATTGCGGTCTGGCTATAACCTGACTGAGTTCTTTGAGGAATCTAGGGTGTAAGCCATCTGGTCCTTGAGATTTATTTGCATTAAGCTTTTCAAGACTTTTTCAGGTACTGGCTTCTGTTAGCCACAAGGGTACACTCTGTGAAGCATTACTAATGATACAGTCTCGATTACTGTACCCCTCTTTTTCCTTAGTAAAAACTGAGGAGAAGAATGTATTTAGTACAATTGCTTTCTCCTTGTCATTTGTAACCAACTTCCCTTCCTCATCCTTTATGGAGCTAATATGTTCTTACCCGCTTTTTTTACTTTTAATATATTTAAAGAATTTTTGAGGATTTTTTTTTACTCTCCTCCACTATGTGTCTCGTGTGGTCTATCGTCGTGTTTGGAAAAACTTGCCTGAAGTGCAGGTGAAGGTTTGAGGTGCATAAGTATGCGCAAGTGCAGAACAGGAACAGGCCAGACAGATGTGCGTGGATTTGTACATATTCGTGCGCAGGTGCACTGGTGGCGCCAAAAGGGCTATTTAAACAGGCTGCGGTTTCTGTCTCATTGCTGTTTGGTCTACAGCTTCTGAGTATGTTCCTGATTTCTGTGTTTGATCTCTGATACTTGTTCCTGCTCTCCGCTTGTCTGCTGCCTGCCCTGACCTCAGCTTGTCTTTATTACTCTTCTACATCTTGTTCCTGTCTGATCGAACCTCCACTGCTGACCAGGTCTGTGACCCAACTACTCTGCTGTCCACCGTCTATGCCTGATCTGCCCGACTGTTACCAACCTGGCTCATCTGGCCCTGTATCTTTCATCCTGCCTACTGCAGTTCATCAGTCCTGCAAATCCACATCTGAATCTGCTTCCTGCTGCACTTCTACAGCCGGCTGACAGCAAAGCTCCTTGCCAGGTCGTTTGCCATCAGCCTGTCACATACCTGCTGGCTGCTACTAACACACCGATTACTGGATCAATCACAGGCACTCATACCAGGCTCCTGGCATTTCCATGCCTCCCAGTTTTGTACGGGCGCATATTATTTCCTCCTTAGTTGTTCTGTGGCTGTATTTTTGTTTTACCAACCAATTTACCCAGGGTTTAAGCATTATGGGTATAGCACCCTCTGACCTTCACTTACTGCTGCCTATTGCTTCCTCTGATCCCTCCACCCCTGCCTAGTTTAAAAGCCATTCCAACTTTTGGAACTTGGCCATCCTCTCCCCCAACAGAGCTGCACCCTCCCCATTAAGGCGCAGTCAATCCTTATATAGAGCAGGTAACCAAGTCAAACCAGTTCTCCAGGAATCTGCAACCCTCTTTTCTGCACCAATTCTTCAGCCACTTGTTAAGTTCTCTTAGATCCTGCTGCCTCTCTTGTGTGGCTCAAACTCCAGGCAGTACCTCTGAGTGTAGCAACTTGGAGGTCCTTCTCTTCAATATAGTACCTAGGTTCCTGAAATCATTTTTTAGGACACTCCATCTTCCACTAACTTTGTAGTTGGTACCAATGTGCACCATGAAAGCTGGGTCCCCCCCAGCCCCACCCAATAATCTGTCCATTTGATCCATGATATGGTGATCCCAAGCACGCGGTAAAGAATATACTGTTCAGTGATCAAGGTCTTTGTGACAGATTGCCCTATCTGTCCTTCTGATAATCGAGTCCTCTACCACCAGTACTTGCCTAACCTTGCCTGTATCCTTGTCCCCCTCTTTACTGGAGCAGTCTTTCCCCTGGCAGCTAGGGGAGGGAGACCACTCCAACAATGTCACATCTGAGCTTTTATCCCCAACATCATGCAACTTGGCATATTTTTGGGGATGTACCTATTTAAGACTAGCCTCTCTAAGGCTCTTTGCTCTACCCCTCCTGTCACCCAGCTACCTACCTCTGGCTCCTGTACCTCCATATCCCCACCCCCCCTATGCTGCCCCCTTCCAGCATCTGTTGGGTAATGTCCAAGCTCCTTTCCAGATTGTTGCCACCTGATTCTCTAGATCCAAGATCTGGCCTTCCACAGAAACAACTAGCTCACACAGCGCACAGCAGTATTTGCCCTCAATCAAGGAACGCATACATGGAGCAAGATGTGCATTGGGTTGCGTCACCAATCCTGTTAGACATTTTACCTGTCTTCTCTAATGTGGATATTCCAGGAAAGATTAGATTTGTTTTCCCTTCTTCCCCTAGTATATAGAAATTTACTGTTAAACCTTCTTACTTAATCCTAATCTGAGCAATATCTTTTTGTTTCTTTCTCTATTTGGGATACTCAGAGTTCTACAAATTATTGGAAATACTCTAAGTCACTCCCAATACTTCAAGTCACGCCACCTTATTCCCAGCTCTACTAGTTACTCCAAAATACTCCCAGCACTCCAAGTTACTCAGAATGCTCCCAGGTCATTTCCAATACTCCCAGGTTAATCAAAAGAAAAGAAGGAGGAGGATGGTATTTTCCAGGTACCAATCAACACCATTAGAATAAAAAATACAATGTTTTTTTTTTAAAACAATATTTTGTATTGAGGAAATTTCAAGAAATTGTACAAACAGTGCTATAGCACAAATGATAGGCCTTGAATAATAGGATACCAATTACACAATAATAATAATCACCCAATGTAATGGGCCTATCATCATGACATCATAAGGTGATTGTAATATATTGAGAGCCAAGGAGGTATAGGACAATTGTCCCAACTAAGAGTGGCATAAGCAATAAGGAGAGATCAACCACTCAATGCATGGCTGAAGACCTGGTGTAAGAGGGAAGGATTTGGGTTTCTAGAGCACTGGGCTGACTTTTCATTAGGGTGCAACCTATATGCTAGAGATGGTCTGCACCTAAATAGAAGGGGGTCTGCTGTG